AATACAAGTTCTCTATCTTTTATGGTAAAAGATTTATGTCCAAGATTCAAACAATCTATTTTAAGGATATGGGTCAAAGCCAAGGCCTCAAGGTCATTGACCTTCAGGTGTCTTTTGAAAACGCTTATTTAGTGAATTATGCATATTAAATATAAAGTCTCTATCTTTCATTAACTTTAAGTCATGATGAATATTCAAAAAAGCTATTTTTAGCAGATAGGTCACAGTCAAGGTCACAAGGTCATTAACCTTGATGTCATTTGAAAGAACCTAATAAGTGGAGTAGACATACCAAATTTGAAATCTTTATCTCTCATTGGTTCAAAAGTAATGGTGAAGGTTAAAGTTTACAAACAAACAGACAGGACAAAAACAATATGTACCCCCGATCTATCGAGACGGGCGCATAAAAAATGTTTATAGAAACAATATTAATATGCCACTGTGAAAATGTCCAGCAACTCTGCATTAATTTTCAAAGAACATGCTTTAATTCATCTTTTCCTGCTACTCTAGGATATATAGACATACAAGTCTAGTATGCATGCATCACAAGCACTAATTGAAACACATATAATTTTTCGAATTTTATCTCCATTGAATCATTCATCTCAAAAAGAATATTGGTTTTGACTCACCAAGTCTGATGATATGGAAAAAGAGTACACATTCCTATAATTCTGCTTAAATTCTTTTTTCTAGTCATTCCACACTATGCAGTCTTACTACTCATCTTGACTAATCCCACTGTACACAATTAACAACTCTAATCAACTTGATACAAGTCAGTAAGGAAGCAAAACATGCTTGCCTTTGAATTCCCTCCACTTTATTTAAAAAGAGGAAGTAAATGACTGAGCATGCTCAACAAATGGCTCATGGGTAATCTTAGATGTTGCCAGAAAGTTTTTTTCTGGCAGTATTGCCAGACTGTCACCGGAAGTTGTTGCAGCTAGCGGTGATATTTCATTTTTTCTGGCAGTATTGCCAGAATGTCACCAGAAGTTGTTGCCGCTAGCGGTGATATTTCACTAACCCAAAAAGCTTGTTTCTGGTGACAAAAATGTGTTGCCGCAATGTTACCGCAATATAGCAGCAATATTGCTGCAATAATTTTACTTTGGTAAGGGATATTTAATTAAGTTCTTAAACAGGGGAGTATATGCTGACTTTAAAGTACTGAATATTTTCATTAGTAATGACGCCATATGTACGTAATGACGTCACAAACCTGACGTAAATTTCAGTTGTTTAAGAATTTTACAGAAAAATCTACATATGTCGTCGACATTTTGAGTAAAAGTCACCGATCGCATGCGTGTTCAGGATCCATATTTTGATATAATGTGTCATGAAATATGAAATATTTCAATGAAATATGTCAATATTGTTCCTGAACAAACTTGCGCTCTATAAATTTTAAAGCTAAAATTGCTGAAATTTTGTCCATTTTGTCTTCTTTCTGAAAAAGGATATAAAATCGGACTAGTTTGTGACGTCATAAAAACAAAAATTGTGAATACACTGCTTTGACACTATAATATTTTCTGTTAATTTATATTTCTCATACAATTTATTGAATTCAGCACATTTCATGAAGTTTTCAAAATTTGACTTTTGTGGGGGCAAATATATGCAATATACCGCATATAGTTCTTTTTTTATATATAAAAAAAAAAAAAAAAAAAAAAAAACCACTTCAATGCAACATCACATTTTGAAACTTTCTCTTGGTAAGACCTTTCCTTCTATCAAATGCATGTACATAGAAAATATCTTTAAAATCTTCTCAAGAACAGCTTAGCTACTACTAATCATATCTTTACAGAAACAACATTAGGCATCGTAGAATCTAGTTTGTTCATATCATGTTCAACAGTTTTTCAACATGTCCCAACTCTGTCAACACAGGGCCAATTTAGTTTTACATAAGAAATAAATATAGAAATCATATTGAAAAAATAACCCAAGAACAGCAAAGGTCATATTTACGATTTTATAAAAACCTCATAGAATATTCAGCTTAAAATTGTTCAAGATAAGGATGGGTAGGATGAACTAATTCCCGTGGGAATTAGTTCAACATACCCAGCCTTAATTTGAACAAATAACATATTATACCGATAAAAAAGAAAAATTTTAGAGAATTACAGATAACCGGGGATTAACTACCAAAGCAGGGATAAGCTCATATGACTAACGTACGGTGATTATTCCATTTACAGTGATTACAAGGGAATTATTCAATTTACTACCTAATTATACCCCCCGCTTGAAAAGCGGGAGGGTATATAGTAATCGTTAATTCCGTCCGTCCGTCCGTCTGTACGTCCGTCCGTCCGTCTGTCTGTCCGTCCGTCCGTCTGTTACGCTTTGGGGTACCCATCTCTTATCCGCAACTCCTCTTATTCCACTGAATGAAATTTAATGAAACTTTCTCAGAATCTTTATTACATATTGCCATTGTGCACCTCCTACTTTACTTTTTGATCCGACACATATTTTGGGTTTCCCGGCCACAGGAAAACATGGACTTTTTCACCAGTTATAACCATATGGCTCACAGTACCTCTAGTTTTATATTGGAAAAAATCAGTAGAGGTATAATAATATTATTTTACAGATGATTATTCAATTACTATTGATATACGCCTTAAACATTTTTTTTCACCTCGTATGGCGATTTTTATCAACAATTTAGTCAAGAATAATTTGAAATTCTGCTTTATCGTGAATAAACATCTTTTTATGTACTCTTCTTCCGTATATGGTCAACCATTGAATGCTTATAAAGTTGTTTAAAACATTCTGTACATGTATTACTGTATTCTTTCAATTTTTAATATTTTGACATGAGTGTTAAATGAAACTAGAGGTACTGTGAGCAATGAACTCACTAAATGATACCCCCGCCTCCCATACTGTCGATTTGTTGCTTTATATTGTTTTACGGTAATGTGTAAAGAGGAATAACTCGTCCTATGAAATGTTATCCAGAAGCTTCTATTATGTGACGTCATAGGTAAACAAAAAATGGCATGTTTTGCTCTGGGAAACCTAAAATACGTGTCGAATAAAAAAGTAAAATAGGAGGTGCACAATGGCAATATGTAATAAAGATTCTGTGAAAGTTTCATTAAATTTCACTCAGTAGTATAAGAGGAGTTGCGGATAAGAGAAAAAGCGTAACAGACGGACGGACGGACGAACGGAATTCCCGATCACTATATACCCTCCGGCTTTTCAAGCGGGGGGTATAATAAATATCTATACCCTGCAAGAAAATCAATTGTATACAATTTTCAATTTAAAATAAAATAAACCTTGTATGTTGTTACTATGTTATATTATATTTAGTACACTATGATATTGGTAAACTTTTAATTTCCAGATTTGTTTATTTCCATGGTCTTACATTATGGGTGTTCAGAGAATATAAACATGTAAGTATGCAAAATCGAAAATCTAACATATTATAACATGTACACTTTGACCAAATAAAACAAATGTGGATGTGGTTTTGTTCGAGAAGAAAAATGGTTGTAACAGTCTTATTCGAGCAACGAAGGCCTGTAAAGTTTAAATTATAATTTGGAAATTCCTTTTAACTTATAATTTGGAAATTCCTTTGAAATATCTTTAAGTTTTACGAGGTTTATGAAGAAAATATACTTTTCAGACGTTTAATCATAAATTGGATTGATTATTTCAGTGAAGGGAGGGAGGTGTTAAAAAAATAACGTTCGCTTTGTACCCTACCGAAAGCAAGCTAAGGAAGAGGTTTGACCTTTGTTATTTGTTATGAAAGATAGCGAAGTTACAGCTAGAAAAATAGCTGAATATATCAAGAATAACATTATTATTAAATACCCAAAATATTGTTTAATTTAGACTTTTAACATATGACAAAAAGAAGGCCCCCACAACTATATCCATGATAGATAAACGACGTTACTTAGACACTCGGGTTGTGATGGTCACCATGTTCTTTCTGGGAAAGTATATCTTTATCCAGCCAACGTATTTCCAAGATTTGATCACTTCTGACAAATGGACTGTACTTGTTATAAAAAAATTAATAACGTGCATGATAAGAAATATAAGACTCGGAAAAATATTTAAGCGTAATTAACTATAGGTATCCCGACATTTAGATATTTTTTCTTAATATTTTATATTTCTTTGGTATTCTTAGTCTTCTTTATCTTTGAATAAATATACATTTATTATTATACGTGGTATAAAGAGCTTTTGCTGTCATTGCAATACATCACAGATCACTTCTTTTATCACAGCTAACATTGGTATCTAAGGATGGACCCTTTCTAAGACTCCCGAAAGCATTGATTGTTATTAAGATACATTATAACGTTGCATGAAAAGTTTTCAATTTCAAGCTTCAGAATGATACTTTTCTGATTAAATGATAATTTTAAATGTTATCCTTCCTGGCTAGTATCAAGTGCCATGAAGGAGTAACTATCCCCTGACGATCGTTTACATCAACTCTGTGCTCCTTATCAATACTGGGTTAACGGAAAATCTGTAGAAAATTGCATTTTAAAAAATGGCTCAACAATTTCCTAATGATTGATTGTAATTGCTGACAAGTCATTATATCATATTATAAGATTTGTGAAATAATGACTTTAAACAAATATTAATATCTTTGTTTTATGAACTTGTTTGTTGATAGTTTGCCTCGATGTAAAAATACCCCCTCCCCCCCCCCCCCCCCCCAAAAAAAAAAAAAACAAACAAACATGCAAACCAAACTGTTATTATGTTCAAAAGTGCAAGGTTCTCGTTCTTGTAAATCAGCGACTCCTTTAATTTTGAATTTGGCCATTTTGAGGATAATTTATGATCAACAAGGAAAGAAATATAAATGCTTCTCTTTTTTTTTTTTTACAATTTTGAAAATATCTCTGAATTCATTAACACATGGAATAAACAAGCCTTTTAGAATGAAGACTTGATTTTGAACGCCTTTCAATTTTTAGGGATGTTTGTCTTGAAACGGCGATTGATTTTGCATGGAATGTTGATGTTTGCTGGTTTCGATTAAGAGATGTGCGATCTTACCTTGGGTCAGGTAATTCATTTGAATTATACCAAAGTAAACGCAATATGTTTTTTTTAGTTATATTTATTGTTAAAATATTTAATAGATTCTATCATTGTTTGTTTGTGACATGTATAAAATTTATGATCAAAAGAATACTCCATGCTAAGGCTAAAAATCATTATATTAAGAAAGTATTCCCTGTCTAGGCATATGTAGTAATATCTAAGAAAATATTTTTTTTATTTAATTAATTAATTTTGTTTAGCTCTATGATATTGTAATCTTGCTTTACTCAGGTCAGTTAGTATTTATATGTTGTAGTATACTGGAAGAAATATCCAACCCTTCCGACAGGGTAACTGTACATGTAAGTTGGACGAGCAAAGCTGTCGTATGTTAAAGTTTTTTTTAACCCTTTAAATGAAATATCAGTCAATTCAAATGAGAGTTTGGTTAATCTTTGACTAATGACCAACTAAATGTTAGAAAAAAAACTGTAATTTATGATTGAAAAACATATTTAAAAGACACTTCAAAGGTTAAAACTGTGTTTTTTCTTCCAGTATACTACAACATATAAATACTATATATAATACATGTATATTCCGCATTCAAATTCATGATTCAATACATTCTGATCAAAAAGTGTCAATGGTAAATAATGCGGAATACTGTAGAAGTTTGGTGAATTATCTAAACTTCCGTTGTCATTGTAATTTTGAAAATAATGAGATGGTGCTTATATCGATAATTTGATTTTTCTCTTCATAATTTTCCAGAAACACGTTCCTGTTCGGAAAAATGCAATGTAAAAATTGACAGGTTAGAGGCAGCAAGATATAATCGTTACAGATACAGAGGTTACAGACCTATGTATCAACTGAGGACTATAGCTTTTATATTTAATGGTTTTAGCAAGAATTCAAAGTCGATCAACACAAAATGTGATAATAATATTGAAGAGAGAACTTTGGAAATTACTTGCCAAACGTTCTCCGAGATTGGTAAGTATGCATACTATGGTGTAAGAGTAAAAAGAATGCATAAAAATTAGTTCCCCATTCTAAACGCAATCTGTGAAGTACAGGTAGTTGTCAGGTTAATATAAAAACAACGTCGTCTTCGTGCTATTTGAAAGGTGCAGGCAGTTCAAAATATATAATTTCCGCATTATGATAACGTTTCGACCAATTTGGCATACTTGGTATTGACAACATTCAGGATGCCCACTTTGGCGTCGGTTCGCCAAAATGGCCTTATTAGAGTCATATATCTACGAAAACAAAATAGAAGCGTTTAACAAAAAAGAAATCATATGTGATAATACTATAAGCCCATGTAGGAGGTAAGTTTCATGAGAGAAATGGAGATAACAAACAATATGTAAGATCAAAAATCCATAAAACAATACCAAATAAGAGTAGAGCAAACATGAACCTCCAAAACATCAGTGGTTGGATCAGGTTCCATGGAGGAGTGAGCATCCCCTGTCGACCAGTCTCATCTGCCATGAGGTACTTTTCATAATCGAGAAATGAGAGAATACGTCGTCGTCGATTCAATGTATAAATAATGGACTAACGATAAGTATGAAAAACATCAGACTGCATTTGCCTTAATGATAATGTATTGCTGACAAGGTTATTGTATCGACCATACAACTTACAAAATGACTTGAAACGAGACTGTTGATATTCTTGTTTCATCAATTTATCTTTCAATAATTATGTTTTCATAAATTTGTATTAGTTTGAAATATTCAAACTGCTTGGCGCAGTGGTTAGAACGTATGATCAAGAGTCGCGAAGTAAGAAGTTGATCCTTACGTTGCGGGTTCTTATCCCACTGTGGGACGTAGAGATAGGTCCTTCGGATGAGACCATTTAAACTGAGGTCCCGTATCACAGTAGATGCTGGCACGGAAAAGGCTCCTCAATGCTCAATGGTCCTGAGTGCCGAGCATAGGACGAAATTTGTAGATCTCCAACGGCAAGTGATGGCGTCCAATATGTATGAAAAATAAGGAACATCAAACAACAAACAAACAAAACAAATAATTACACATTACCGCATTTTTAAACGTATCATTTCAAAGTCTAATTATTTTATTTTTTTTATTACGTATTGCGGGGAATGACAGTGAGAGACGTCAGAATTCTCAGAAGAAAATTATTGAAATATGAACGCAATCCGGCTTCGCAGAAACAAAAGAATTAAGACAGACAATTCTTAACCTTGACCAATTACTTTTCGACTTCAAAATAAATAATGGTCTTCTTTTGGTCTAGGGAGTTGTGTTAGACTTCAACGCATCAGTTTGAAAACCTCTCTATTTTTCTAAAACCTGTATGCTTTGAAACAAATGAGGGAATTAGTGAGCTTTTGCGGAAGGTGACGGCTAAAAGCGACAGATTTAGATTGAGTAAAGGGATATTTTTAAAACCGATCACAGAAGTAAAATAAAAAAAAAACGTGGTTTAAATAGGGTTAAATATGCTGAAAATAATTTGAACCATATATTAGCGTAAACCATGTAGAAAAGATAAATTCACTGTATATCAAATATTTGAATAAATTATAAAAATCTAATTCTAATGCAATAGATTTGTAAAACACTTTTTGATTGGCTAATGCGCTAATGTTTGAAGCAGTAAAACGAGCATTAACGAGAGTGAAAGCTTTTTCATTGTGACGTCATAATAGAGCGACGCAAAAACACAATGCTCCGTGACGTATTTCTTGTAACAAAATTTATCAAATTTATAAACAACCAACAAAATGCATGGATTGCATTAGAATGGGAATAACTAATCTGCTAATTTGGTATTTGCGACCTCTAATGCTGATTTAACGGTCGCAAACATCCGTATTACCGGCTCCGCATACGCGTCGCCGGTAAAACTCCGTTTGCGACCATTAAATCAACATTAACGGTCGTAAATACCAAATTAGAAGATAGTTATTCCCTAAATATTGCACATTTGTTTTCAATTGATATAAATTAATAAAAAAAGAATATAAAGAAATAGGTAAATAAATGAAAAATCAAAGTAAATAATTATATTTATTTTGTAAAATTATTTAACAAATGAACTGAAACCGTCATATGAATTCAATGAATAAACTAGAGGTATTGTGAGCAATGAATTCACTAAATGATTCCCCCTGCGTCCCATATAAATATAATGGCAGTGCCCATGTTTTGCTATGGGAGACCCAAATTATGTGTCGGATCAAAAAGTGAAATAAAGATTCCCTTAAAGTCTCATCACATTTCATTTAATGGTACATGTACTAAAGAAGATGTGGATAAGAGATGGGTTTACACATGTAACAAAGCGTAACAGTCGGACGGGCGAACAGACATATATACCGATTACTATATACCCTCTCGCTTTTTAAGCGGGGGTTATAAAAATTATTTGGGCGTTCTCAAAACATTCATATGTTTTTTGAATATAACAAATGAATATTATAGAATTATTGCTGGTTTTTGAGGTCAAAACAATGATTTAGCCATTTAAGGAGTACAATATTCACCAAGCCCGAAGATGGCTAAATCATTGTATTGACCGAAAAAACAGCAATAATTGTTTTATTATATGATTCACTGATAAAATGATACAGCCCATTACTTGTTTGCATTTTATTAACTCCTAGCCAAATACAACAGAGTAGCAGAATTGTGAATGTGAATAAACCTTGCCAGTCGAATCAAATTGAAATGTTTTTTTTTAAAATCAAAACTGACAGGTGATTTTGAAGAATTTCTTCCTTAGAAAAGGAAGTATGAGTATAAGTAGGATTACCATTTGTAGAATTAAATCCAAGTTCCTCTAGAATGCAATTTATATAATGAGCCTTACAAACAAAGACAATGTTGTTACCTGCTTTGTCGGCAGGAAACAGTAAGTACTTATTGATCGTGTAATCTATCTAATTCATTTTTCACTTCTGGGTTATTGAACACAGAAGGATAGATGGTTTTCATATTGCCCCTCAATCTTTTAATACGTGACTATAACATGGATCTGATACATTTAATCCATTCTGACAAGGTGTCAACGTCTTCTTTTCATATCTGGCCCATCGTCTGGAGTAATTCTCAACAGAATCCATAATATTTATGAAATTCCGACGCCAGTTGAAGGATCGGGGTTCCCTATATTTAGGACCTTTTAAAATAAGTGATCAAAGGTTCTCATTACTAAATTGTATTTGCTGACAAGGTCATTCTATCGACAATAGAACTGACGAAATTTTGACTTTAAACGAAACTGCTGATATTCCTGTTTCATCAACTTGCATATGTGAATAACTTACCTCGTTTTAGAAACTGTTCATACCTAGCTATGGCATGCTCTTGCGTGTCGAATCAGCTGAGATATATAAATTCTGTATGAGGTTGTTAGGGTATAATACTGCATAAGCAAGGAAAGTTGACAATTGAAAAGTCATCACGTTTATCATAGAGCTTGGTTGTTAGATTACCATTAACGTCTTTTTCAAGAGGACCTTTTTGTCTTTTATAAGGACCGCCCAATTTAGTCGCCTTTTACGACAAGCAAGGGGGTACTGAGGACCTATTGTAGCCCGGATCCATGGGGAAAGTTCATTTGAAGACATAATTCAAATAATTTAAGAAATTTAATTAGTACTAGGAAAATAAAATAAGATAAAATAAAATAAGAAAATTAATGTAAAAGAAAAGTTAACATGTCCCTACCTCTTTACATTAAATACAGTATCCATTTGAGTATCTGGGCTACAAGAAAAAAGTACAATAATTTTTATAGAGTATTTAACTACTTGCCTGGAATAATGTAAACTTTCGATGAAAGAAAAGGTGCTGTATGCAACCCTTGCCTGCATTTTGGGGGATAAATACCGTATTAAGCACTGTATGTGGACACGACAGTCATTTTTAAAGTTCGTTGACTTTTGTTATAACTATTGTATTTCATGTCATATATATACCGTTCACGGTAGCTCAGTCGTTAGAGCGCTCGCTCCGTGATCGGAAGGTCGTGAGTTCGTATCTTCGCCGCGACTGACCTAGTCGTTACATGGGTAGCAACTGTTCCTTCACCATGCGTTCGGCACTTTGAAGTGAAAGTTGCGGGTCCTTCGGATGAGACCTTAAAACCGAGGCCCCGTGGCAGCGGCAGGCGTTGGCACGATAAAGATCCCTAACTGCTCAATGGCCCTGAGTGCCGAGTAAAGGTAAAAATTTAAAGCCCTTCACCGGCATTCAGTGACGTCTACATATGAGTGAAAAATTCTCGAGAGGGACGTTAAACAATATACAATCAATCAATCTATAAATTAATTTTAGTTGCCATGAAGGAATATGTAATGTCAGTCTTTTTTATAGGACAGATTTTGAAAGGAATGAGTATAATTAGGGAAAACTGACTACCAAAAAGTAAAAAAAAAAATGTTCTTCAGAAAAAGTGTTGAGGAAGCATACCCTCTTACCATCTTCACCTAAAATATATATTGGTTTATGTTTTGTTCACATGAAATTTAAAATTATAGTCGTTTAAATAGCTTTCTAAAACAATTTGTATAAATCTATTTTTCCCAATCTATTTTTAGATCAATGTAGAGGAAGTAAATCCTTGTATTGACCTGAAACGTCACGTGCAGGTCAACACAACGTAATCTCATCCAATCAGAGAGATGGAAATTATTCAATCATATAATAATCTTTATTACTAAAATCTTAGTCTAAAATTTTTGTTTTGTCCGTATTTTTTATCAAAGTGCTTTATGTGTCTCCATCATGATTTAAAAAAAATTGTAATTTAAATTCCTAACTCACTTCGAACTTGATTTTTAAACCCTAACGCACTTTGATTTTTTTCTTTCAAAGTGAGGTGATTTTGTTTCAATTTTAACGCATTTTATTTTTCAAAGTGTGTAAAACACAGTGCAAGTAATCATATCTATCATGCTTAGGACTTCCGTACATGACGGAAAGCAACAGCACATGACACTTCAACATCGATGATTGATTGATTATTGTTTTTTAACGCCGACTCGGCAATATTTCAGCCATATTCAACATCGAGTTTCTGCAATTTATAATTTCCTGTTAACTGTTCTACTTATCCAATGGTCAAACTTTAAAAAATTATGATGTCGATGACAAAATATATGTACTCAGATGTTTATCTTAAACAAAATAAAATACGTGTTTTGTTGTAATGTTACGATGAAGGAATTATCGAATTTTCATAGGTGAAATCTGGCACCTACGGTTTTTTGATATCGTTTTATTCTTTGAATATATTGGCTTACAGTGATACCAAACTTTTCCACTAATTTTTCAATTTGTATTTTATTCATATGAACAATATATGGTTTTTTCCAGTTTATCAATCAAAAGAATTATGTACTTCAAATACAAAATGTGGAGATGCATCAAAGAAATGTTTACGATCGCCCATCGAAAAAATAGGCATTTGTGTTTGCAGATCTGAGTATATATCATTCGGAAGCAAATGTTTAGAGGGTAAATTACTTTATCATGCTGACTTTATATAATTATTCAAACAGTAAATAGCTTAGGAACCATTTAAAAGAAATAACGCAAAATGAACATAACAATTTACATACATAAATAATACATTTAAATTTTTATTTTCAATATGATTTCTGTTATTTATCAGGAAATTTGCAACTAAACGATAAGTGTCAGCGAAGTGAGCAGTGTTCTGGGACAGTTGGTGCGATCTGTCAGAACAATACGTGTGTCTGTAGGCCAAGATACGTCCCGCTCAATGATTCCAGCTGTTTTTCCCGTAAGTTCATTTAAATCTACTCTCATATCCAATTTTAATTTAGTTTTATTTGTTGAATAAAATGGAAATTATTTCTATCTCCTTAAGCCATGTGACACATCAGATAACATAGTCAGAATATATAATTACAAAATACGGGATGTAAAGAACTGAAGGAATGTACAAAACATAATATTTACATAAACTTTTAAGATAACACTGCTTGTGTACAATATTTCAAACCAAACATTAAAGAATCCTTAGTTTACAGATGTGAATTTCTAAGTACTTCTGCTTTTTTGAGGAATTTCTCTATATTATTATATTCACTCACAATTTCAGTGGATAATAATGGTAATAGTTTAAACATGCTAGGTCTATACCAATAATACTTTTTAATACACTCCTAAAACATTTAAACAAAAATAAATGTCACGTAGAAGCAAATGGTATTTAAGAAGACATTTCTACAATTAATTCAAAATTGATTGCCTAACAATTTGCATAAAGAAAACAAATAGTCAACAACACTAATATTTGCACACAAGGTCATTATATCAATAATAAAATAATATAGTCTGCAAATTGTACTTAATTTAAACAATAAGGGTAATTTGTCATTGGCTCGATACAGAAGCTGTTTGTAGTTAAAATATTCTCTTATGAATTAAATCAACTTGGAGACATGAGCACCAGAGGCAGATTAAAATGTTCTATTGCTAAAAATAGGTAAAGTGAAGATAGAAAAAGATGACTTCAACACCTGTAGCATAAAGTTTGATTTCTTCTTTGCAATCATTGTTCCTCTCTAATAAAGCATCCAAATAGAAATGCGTCGGACACCATTGTTTCTTTTATCTTTAGTTAAGTTTCTTAGAAATTATAATATATCCAATGACTCAGGATTGGAACAGGATCTAATATAATATATTTTTGGAATAAATCAACAATGCTATAAAATATTCAACGTAGTCTTTTTGTTTATGAGCAGAACATTTCTTTTGCAGCTGACATCTCATATGACTTGTGTACGTCACATAAGGAGTGTAGAGACGAATCTAAATCATGTTCAATGACAGGACAAGTCGGCATTTGTACTTGCAAATCTGGGTTCATAGGGTTCGGACACGAATGTCTAAAGGGTAAAGTCTGAACCTCGCTTTTTGAAATATAACTATTGCAATAGTTCCAGACCCAATATATAAATCTCTGAAAAAATCAATCTTAAACAGTTTTAGATATATATTTAAAAAAAATTATTTTAACAGGATTTTTTTTTTTATTTCTATGATTAATAAATATTTTTAACAAAGTTATTTATTTTCTTTACCAGGAAATTTAAGTCTGAATGAATCATGCCAGCGAACTGAGCAGTGTTCTATGGTACTTGGCTCTGTTTGTCAGAACAACAGATGCGACTGTAAGTCTCATTTTATAATGACTCCAAATGTTCTCTACATGTGAACATTTGAATCGACTAGTATTTCATAAAATTTACAAGCGATTTGAGAGGACATATTGAACAAATGCGAGTTTATTTTAAGAAATGAAGGCTATTTTAAACTCCTGTAGAAGTACTTTTTTCCGCGTGGTATTAATATAAGCTATGTACGCGGTCACAAATTTTCCGCGGAAATTTGTCCAAGCGTACTAAATAACAAGAGGCCCATGGGCCATATCTGTCACCTCAGCACTGTGGCTAGGAAAAGGTAGAAATTGGTTTATTATTGAAAATTTTGAATCCAAATTGGTCCCATGACCAATCATGGATTTGCTATTCTTGAGAAGATAACTTTTAATTAATTTTCCTAAATACTTTTATGTAAAACCTTTTTGCCCCGCCCTACCCCTAGAGGTCATATGATTTGACCAAATTTGAAGATTTTAAAAGAATTTTCATGTCGGGGTTTATGCCGATTTTTCTCGAATAACTTATTTCGACAATACTATTATCTGATGAAGATGTATATTTACTTACAGCGCCTCCAGGTTGTATTTTTCAAGCAAGTGTCCAAGACCAGAAAAAGAAAGGTGTCAAAATTCAAAATATTACACATATATTTACTCTCAATTTGGTTTTTAAGGTTAATCTGTAGAAAAAAAACATGTTATTATACAGTCATACAATACTTCTGAGCTCCTGTTCGAATCATTTTGCATTGAAAATAAACGAATAATCAATCAAGTTAAAATAGATATGTAAGGGTATATAAGTAAACGGAAACTTAAGGAGGTGAATGACCTTGGACTGAAAAAAAAACCTGTAATTTAATTTTTTTCAAATTTTGTATAATAGTCATATGGTATGTTATCTACAGAATGGCACATCTTTCATAGTACATTTCTAGACATTCTAAGGAGCTATTATACAACAAGAGTTACCGCCCTTGACACTTCATTTGAGATAAATTATTTCTATTTAAAGAATTCTAGTCGTTGAAGAAACAAATTTTTTCAAGAAAAAAAATTATAAAATTGAAAAGGACTTGATTCTCAATAATTTCTCCAAAAGAAAACAAGTTTGGATATTCAGATCAAAAGTTATCTTAATAAAAATTACAGAAATGAGGGTAAAATTAATAATTTAAAAAAGGTTTCTAACAAAGAAAAAACGAATTTAAAAAAAATGTGTCATTTAATTTTTGAAATTTTACTATCAAATTAAAGGCCAATCTATTCTTAACAAATCCATACCAATTTAGAGGGGGGAAGCTGAGCTTAATTCTGAGTTGCAGAATGTTGAATGATACCCCTTCGGCATCAAAATGGAAGCTTCTAAAATGAAAATTCCTTCGTCTGTATTTGAAAAATAAGACAATATAATAATTTAACCTTGAATTATTCAAATTGGCAAAAATTTAAATGCTAGGTGCTATTTTTTTTCAATTTATAGCTAAAGAACCTTAGTTTTATGAAAAAAAGAGAAATATTGTGAATATTTTCTAAAAATAGATTCGGTTTTTCCGATTTCTAAAAATAGATCAATTGTGTCATTGAATTTGTTCCGTGATTTCGCTTTTGATAAAATGTATTAAAGTAAAAATTGAAAATGGTAAGATGTAAATAAAACAATATATCAATGTCAAAGTAACATGTTTAGTAGAAAACGGAGATAATTCTACTATTCCGGGATATATCCGACCCATACTGTGCAGTTTCTTAGTTACCATGAATATTACTTTCAATTTGTCGAAATGTAAATTGGTTTTGCACTCAAATGATTTGTTTAGGGCGTCCCTTTTTTCGTTTAAAGATTGGACTGATTTATACTAATCTTTTGCGCATTTTTATATGTATACTTTGCGGTATTGTAGATCAGATCTATAAAATAATAAAAATTCCTACGGACGTTTGTGGTGAGGGCTATGGTGAGGGCTTGTCCCGAGACACAGTTACATGTAGATTATTCTAACAAGGTATAGTGCATCATTCGTAATCGTAAACTGATATATCAGCTACAATGTACATTTTATTCTGTTAACATTCACTTTATATGAATGTTAAACATCCGAAAGTAATAGATATGGGTATATATATATATCCTGTGATGTTCCTGACAATTTTTTTTAATCCTTGTCATGTAATTTATGGTTGTCTCATAAGTGAAGGTATAGATTTTTTTTTGAACATTTTTGACTTTCTTCTCAAGAACCGCTTTGCCAATATTTCAACCAAACTTGCCACAAAGTATCCTTGGTTGAAGGGGTTTCAAGTTTGTTCAAATGAAGGGCTACGCCCTCATTCAAAGGGTGATAATTGGGAAATAGTGAAAATTTGGTGGCATATGTTTTAAAAATCTTTTTCTCAAGAACCACTGGGCCAGGAAAGATGAAACTTATAGGAAAACATCTTCAGGTAGTGAAGATTCAAGTTTATTCAAATCATGACCCCCGGGGGTAGGGCGGGGTCAAAAAATATTCATTCGATTTTCACCAAAAACATGACCGATTCTGTCAGGAAAGTGGCATTCTAGACGGAAATTCAATGGCATGTCCTGTCGCACGACTGCTTTTTTGTGTGATTTCCAAGACTTGAAATATCACCGGTGAGTTTATTAATTCTAAACAACCTTTTCTTTCTCCAAGACGATTGGTGGTTTAAACAAATTGTGTAATTTATGTATCTTGAGAAAATTATACAAATAACTACCGTTTGACAGATTTTTAAACGTGAAAACGAAAATCGGCAATAGCCTAATGGGTTCGTCGCACGTTATACAAAACTATTTTGACCAATTACTTGTCTTTCAACCGCCTACTTGCGTCCTAATTTTCTCAATCGTAATTTAGCTGCTATCGTGAAAGTTCTTGCTTTAAAATAATTTATTTATAGATCTTATTTTTATCTAAATAGTTAGGCTACTTACCTAGATAGACTTTTGAGTTGATGTCAAATGCTTTTTGGCTGTTCCTTTTACCAGTAAGTACGGCGTTGACAAAGCTGCATTGCTGGCATCGTATATACAGAAGACTGGCCATGCCATATATTGTCTCGTCTTCAATATCCGAGAGTTGTAAGCATGTAAAACAGCGCTCACAATTCATATGATTAGCTAAAACGCTGAGTTCAACCACTCGTCTTCCCTCAAACCATGGCTTTTGTTTTTCGTCGCCTACAATGACGTTTTGTGCCACATCCATATCACACACATGAACTCCACGACTTGCATCTTGTAAATTATATTCATGATCATTTAAAATCTCATTTTCTCGTTTGGTCTTATTTAACGTTTTCATATGTCTTGACCTATTTACTGTCCCCTTTGTTGCAAGTCTAACCCACACAAAATCGTCTGCCATTTTTGTTTACATTACGTCTCTGACATTTCAGGTTACGGTTCTAAATTTACAATTTATCACGTGACGGAGAAAAGTCATGTAACCAAACGTCCTTCACCTCCTTAAATCATATTTATGTTTGTTTGCCATTAAGTAATGATGCTCACTGCATGAAATATTTGTACTGAATAAATGGACTTTCTTGTAATTAGAGTAATTGTTATCCTTGCAGAAGATATTGTAGTCGGTTTAATGGTTGGATCTGCTTTTAGTGGCCTTATTTTAGGCATTGTGATAACTGTTCTTGGAGTTATCATCTACAAAAATATAAGAAACGAGAAGCCTAAAGATGCAATGAAGTATAAAACCTTTTATTTATTTATATATTTATTTATTTATTTTTGGTTTTTGATCTTTTAATTTAATATACAGATTAGTTTGTTTCTTTGCGTTAGCTTTATTTCTGAAATGTTTACTGGACTCCGAATTAAATTACAAATTTCATTATTTTAATTAGAGAAGACCAGACGGGTGTAGTTTTTAACAATACTTCTTATAAAACTGAAGAAGTAGATCAGAACCATTCTACCATGCAACGTACAAATGAGGTGGGAATATACAGAATATTGAATGAATTTAATTTGCTACATTACATGGAAGAAACAATAATTTTCTTTCTGCTATTTGACGAAAAAATCGTGATAAAAGAATATGAATTTGCTCTTAAATAAATCATGCAAGTAAGTTTTACATTTTATTTTAAGATACTAGTACTTGTTGCAGCCTGAAAGAGCCCACGTTTTTAAGAATAAGCTCTTGAATTCATCCTTGGGTTGCAAGAGTTTTTAACTCATTTACTTAATCTCCAATAAAAGGTCTTTTTAGATACTTGAAGTCTCGTTTTTGATAGTTTGGTGTTGTACTATGCCTTTTTTGATATATAAGAATTGATTCTTGATTCTTTTTAAAATAAATATAGAAAAAAGGCTTTACCAAGATTATATGAAGACGATCAAGACAGCGTTGTCTGGATTGGTTGTTAAACGTAGTTTAATTTATCAGAACATATTACATTAAATAAAGCAAACATATCACATTTAACATTTTTTGTTTTCCAGAGAACGATTGTAAATGTGCCAACGTTTGCTCATTCCGTTCATTTACCAGTAACAAAAAACGCACGCACCTATCATGGAAATAAAAGTTCGATGATGAAAAGTAATGACGTAAATGATGACGTATACAATCATCTGCATGAAAAGGAAGAGGATTCCGAAAATGATGAAACTTACGACCACACCTATGGAAACATATTAAGCAGTGCCATGGAGGATACTAATTACAGTAATTTAAATACAGTGATAAGATATAAGGAACCCGATGGTTCTGCTGCTGGAGATAACGATTATGATGATCGAGAGCCGCCTGGTGATTACTGTGCACTGAGAAAGCAGTAAAGATGTATATTCTTATGCAAACACACTGCTGTGCTAAGTCTGAGTCATGCATTTTATTTCTGAAACTGTTTGTTGCCTTTCATAATTTTTAAACACTTTATGCAAGCATAACACGTATATTGAAAGAGAAGAAATTTAATGTATATATCCGATCATCCCTTTGATAACATACTAGGAAAAACAATTTTGAATATGGTTTCTTTCTTAGGTTTAGACGTTCCTAAAACACAGAATAATTATTTGACTTCATTTTTGGTATGATCTTTCGATCGAGTCAGGGATCTTCATTTCTTCCCATATCATGATGCTTAACAGATTTGTTTGCCTTGACATATTAAGTCATTTAAGTTTATAATAAAATGCAAGTGATGCCTTTTCATAATTTTTTCAAGATTTGGAAGATGTTGGTAATACCGTACAGCCCGGAAAACACTCGAACGCTATGTTCTTTTCTCTTCAACAATTTAATATAATATTTTTCGTTTAACTTTTATTGCCAATAATTGCTATTCATACACTTCTTGTCAAGTTTCATCAGCTTTCTCATAATTCAATGAGTTTTCGCAATAACTCGATATTTTTTGTTGCGTATTAATAAAAAAAAATAAAACTATTATTCAAAATATTCCGAGTAGAAATGTGAGAAAGTTAAAACACTCACTGGAATTGTCAGTCCGTGCTCAGTGATGTGCACACAATTTAACAAATGTTACACAGCTAATTAAAATGATTAACAAAGCTTGTGTCCTGTTTACAATAAACGTTTTAGTGTTCCGGGTGTGTTTCTCTTGCTATGTTAAACTATGCTCCTATCGCTGAGGATGTACTGACAATATCCAGCTTAATTATAAGGAGGAATGCCACACCCAAATTTTATTTCATAGATCTTTAAATATATCCCTATTAAATTATGGTTCTAGCATTGAAAGCACGATATTAGCTCTTGCTATTTATAAGTGAATATATTTCTGCAAATTTTCCGAGAAAATGAAGAAAATGTTTTATTTGCAAATTAGTTGCTTTACGGCTTGATATTTGCTGTTAATAGATACATAATGTGATTGTTTTTAAGAAAATATATAGGTAAAGAAAGTCTGGATAAATATTTCTATTTTCTAATTAAAATTAAATATTGTTTTAAACCTCTGGTTAATTTCTTCTTAAGACTGGTCATAACAAGGTAGAACATGTTAGTCAAATTTTAAAAAGAAATGAACTACGAAATTTTAGAAAAATTACTTGATAAAGATTTTTAAGTTATAAATACTTATATAAAAAATATCAAAAGGGCAATTAATTAATCATTTTATTATTTTTTGGTTAATTTGATTGGGACCAATTTACTTTTGATTGGGAATTGTCCAATTTTTAAAAAAAAATAGTTCCTAAAAAATTGTAATTTCATATTGAATTCTTTTTAAAATAGGATCACTTACATGTTTTCCCTACTTCACATATTATAATGAAAATTTTAACGATTGTTAGAAACACATTTACATATTCTTAAATAATGTGTTTTATTTTTATAAATAATTTGTATAACAACCCCTTACTCTTCTAAATTAAATCTGTATGATCTCATATAGACGTATGACTAGTTCCTAATTCAAATGAATTTCCAAAATCTTAATATCCTAACATCGTACAAATGGATACCTAAATATATTTAGAACACAATTCACCTCTATAACAATAGGTTTACAAATGAAAAAAATATTCATAATACATGTAATTGAAAAAAAGCTTATATGTAAAACATTTTATAAAGATCAAGGCATAAACACAGAACTACAGCAATCCAAGAGCTGGGGACGATCACACCGGTATCTGGCTTTAACCCTTTTTTGATCAGGTAGACGGAATATTTGATAAATGGATATGAAATATTTAAAGAAAAGGAACTTTGAATATTTACCGGTAAGTCGGTTTGAAACAGGTCAGCCAATACTGTTGATATAATTGAAATGCAGATTTAAAATGGGTTTTTGACAAACATGCAACATCAACTTATATGTCAGAAGCAGGCTGGGTTCTAACACCGATCGAAGCATGCCCCTGAGTATCGAATATAATATGTTATGTAAAAACCATATGTTGATGATTAGGAGAATATTATGACATGAATAAAAAAGCTGACAACGGAAAATATATCTCATTTATTTTGTCATGCAATATAATTTTTATTTGCAATATAGTTAACGTTGTTTAATTACTGATAACTATAGTCCTTATGGTCAGTAAACATCCAGTTATGAAGCTAATAATGATTCTTCTATATAGACCCATAAGTCAAAAAAGGAACTGCTACAATAATTCCTGTGAGGACATAAATAAATGTATAGGATTTATAAAAAAAATATAAGTCGAAGGGTAATTTAATAATTAGTTGTAAATGTTATGGATTTTGGTCCAGTTTTACTCATATGTAGGCATAATACCTATCATAACACGAGATTTGGGCCATTTGAATTGAATCTTTTAGTGATTGAAAAGATACATTTAGACATGTATATGCTTTGATAAGATTAACGCTGTCATTCATTTTACTTTCGATCAATAAATTGTATCAGTGCTGAAAACAATACAAATTTCTAAATTGCATGTGTGTCAAATTTCAAGCAGTACAAATGGTTGTAAAGCCTTATAAATAGGAGGAGCAATTAAATCGAGAGAATTAAAAATAATCAGTCAGCAGAGGTAAGAACTGTCCATTTTCAAATTTATTGATTTTGTTACATATTCTTTAATCTACTTTCTGCTGGATTATTCTTCCTCTGTTACACTAAATAGTTATAAAACAATGTTTTTGATCAAGACATTTAGATTTCAGAAAAAATGAGAAACGCTGTAATAATTGCGGTAATTATGGCGATCAATGTTGTTTCTGGACACAAGCCGTTTTTGGAATATTTGAAAACACAGGCGAGCAATATGGAGAAAGGATTAGACTCGGTCATCAAAGGAGGTGAACACAGACATGCTGTTCAGGGTAATTATTCTAACTATTGATTATATTGGGAATTTTTTCACTGAAAGGAATAATAAGCAACCATAATGATAATATACAATTTTGTTACATGTACATAGCACTACAGCGTATTTACGATATCATTTTCGTCACATATTAATTTTGCCCTTTACACTTGTAAACAATATTTCCTCCGTTTCAAATCGCCAAGACACATGTTTTAATACGAGTTATTGTCTCATTGAATTTGCTCTGTTTTAGATTCGTTCTCTCGCGAAAATGGTCAAATAGAAAGGGTAGCTAAAACCGTTTTCACTTTATATACAACATACTGTAGATCACTTAATTTTCGCAACACCTTATTTTCACGAGATTGTCATATACTCTTTGTATGCGAGACATAATTTTCACGAATAGTTGTCATTCATCTATATAATCGTAAGGAATACTTTTATACGCGAGAATTTAATTTTGGCGAACGCATTGTCTCGCGTATTTACGCGAAAATAAAGTTCTCGCGAATAATAAGTGATTTACAGTATTGTTAATATATGTTAATAACATGGAATGAACATAACAGTATCATAACAAAAAGATAATATTCTTTTCTATCATTCTAGGCGGTGTTGCATTTTCGGCTTACCAGTCAACATCCAAAAATTACAAGCAACACGAGACATGGATATATAACACAGTTCTTGTGAACGATGCAAATGCATACAACAAAGCAACAGGAACCTTTACAACCCCTTCTGATGGAGTATATGTTTTTACATGGGCAACATTGACTGAGCCTGGTAAAGCAGCACACCCATACCTTAGAATTAATGGTAAATATAAAGGATGGGCTGCATTTAACAATACCCGAACGTCACAGCAATTCTGGAGTAGCGGTTCGAATACGATTGTTGTTCGTCTGAAGAAAGGAGACAAGGTTAACGTGGCTTCCGGGTACCTTGCAGCCTATGCAAGAGAAAGATTTTCTTCGTTTTCTGGATGGAAGATTTATTGAATTTTCTGTAATAATATATATTTTATGAGATGTTCTTCCTTAAAAGTTTTGATTATAAACTAATTTGAATTTGTATAAAATACAGAATAAAATACGTTCTCTATTCGATTCGTTGATGTTGTTTTGTTTGTATTTAGTTGACTACACCTTAATTACTTAACATGATAAAAAAAATATTATAACAAGTAGGTATTTTTCCAGTACCTTTATCGGCCTAAGACCAATTTCGGTTCACATGCCTTCAACACATTCCTTGATATTAGTGACTCAAGTTATACAGGGTGTTATATGGAAAGATAGAAGATACAATGATACAGTGTGTATGTATAATGATGACAAATACTGAAGACCTTTTTATTCTAAATATTAGATCCTTATAAACTCACCGAAGTATATACAGATTTTCCTGTTACTTGTATTTCCCGCTCATGCCTAGGAGCACACGGTGGTCGTCAGGTCAGGAGGGAATACTCACTCCTCCATGGCACCTGATCCTACTTATGATGTGTCTGAGTTCCGTGCTTGCTCTGCGTCTGATTTCAAATTCATAAATAAAATTTTGAGCTTGGATAATGTTAGTTATCTTCATATATTTAATGCTTGTATCTTTCTATCTATATATAATAAAAGAGTTACATTGAATTTATTTTGAATTTGTATTAAATTTGAAGATTCTTTACAAGACATTCATGTACTAGACGTCAAAATGTAAGGTAATTAGGATACATATAAGGAAGTGACATTACAGTGGACCTTCAGATATCCGGACGCTAGATAACCGGATGCTTCAGTATCCGGACGATTTTTCATCGGAACAGATTTTTTAACAATCATTTTGTTTTGTTTAATATTTAATTCAAATATCTGGATGCTTCACATATCCGGACAAGTTAACTAGGAACCAAAGCGTCCGTATAAATGAGGCTCCACTGTATACGTTTGGTGCGCTGAAAATCCCTGTTCACTTGAAATTCAAGAAACCATAGTTTGTTACACATCTGTTTCATATATGGATATTTGAAAAGAAAAGAAGATATTTGAAAGAAATTATTTTGATATTTTAAAGAAGGTTCAAACTAGCCATCAATTTTTACTTCGTCATAAGAATGACTATCTATATCTAATTTTTTTTCATTTGTCAAATATATATAGAAATATATAAAACTCTATCACTCTTTTTATTTTAAGTCTAACGAACGATTAAAAAAAAAAATCTTGTTCGGAAGCTCTTGATTCTCACCTGTCAGAAAATTGACTTGATGTATGCATTTTTGTATAAAAAAAATCAGGGATGTCAAAATATTAATTTTCCTTAGTCGAATATTCGATCGATTATTCGAACAATATTCGACTATTCGGAGCATTTATTTTTTTATATACACAATGCTTTTGAAAGCTTATTAATTAAAATGACTTTGAGAATTGAAATAAATTGCAAATAGGGAAAAATTAATGTAAACACACACTATCCACACCTCCGATGAAAATGTTAAATAATATTTGTTCAATTAATGATTGCCCAAGATACATGTACATGTATCAGGTCGAGACCACTACCTTATATGGAAGGCAATTTTCAACACGTGACGATGTCTTCGTCATGCCCGTTCTCCAATCAAGTGAAAGAGTCCCAAAGCATAACAGTCTACCACGTGTTTACGATTCAATGGATACATGTGGTTTTCGTCGGTTTACTGCACAAAATTTAACTCGTCACCGGAAAAACTATAGAGCTTCTTTATAACTTTATTAGACCGAAATTGAAAGATTATATTCTAAAGACACTGCTCCATGCTCATATTTAATATTGGAGTTGCTTTAGATGATTAACAGTTGCTTCGAATATCGTACAAACGCTGTGACTTTTGCATATACATTAAACACTTTCTGATAATATTGAGGGGTTAAATAATAATTGCACACTTTCTTCTGCTGTCTAAAAACAAGGACCTATATACTACCTGCGAAAGCTATGTACATGTAAATCACGAGAAAAAAAACTGTTTTATCGACACGATAGCACTTATACGTCTCTTTGAACAATGATATACTAGGCCGATGTATTATAAGTTGATATAAGGCTTCATAAAGCAAATTTTGCAAATGTGAGCATAAAAATGAAAGATTATACACCGTTTTAAATATTTACTTCACAAATTTAAAAAAAGAATTGAAAATAAGTTTCCAAGGGACAGTTCAAGTTGCCTTTAATTTTCAACACAGCTAGGTACTTGTAGTAACCCACAATGCATTGCGGCTCATTCAGCAGTAGGTAAAGTAAACATATTAGCTAATTTACATGCAAATTTATTCTGACGTCAGAAAATCTAGTGGTCTCGACCTGTGTATATAAAAATGTCTTTTATGTAATATTATCGCTTTAATAATTCAAACTTTAAAACTTCATTGCTATCTAAATATTGTGTGTTCCTAAGCATTTGAAATTCCTAGAGTTTATAAATATAATTGGTACAAGTCAAATAATTTTCATAGCCCAGTATAGCCTTGCATAATTTACTACGTACAATTACAAAACAGTCAGTGATTGAGAAACAACTATCACGGTATGTAATATTGTATTTTTTATATGTACAATTTGGAAAATTATTATGTTGTGACTGTGTTTGAGCTCTTATTCGTCTAAGGACGCACATTATACAGGTGAACTTTCAACTTTCAATTTTCAACTTTCAGATGAAAATTTCATTAACACTCTCTTTTCTTACATTGATTTAATATTTGCATGTTTCATTATTCGATCGTCGGTCTATTCCACTGACAGTCGAATAGTCGACTATTCGTAGACATCAATACAGAAATAGGAATGCTTTATATGTTACCCTTTTGAACTCGGGAGAGCAAACTTACTATTGCTATTTTTTTCCCAAAATATCCTGCACATATTTATCATTTATCCTGCATCATTTATTTAAGAATAACTGTCTTTCTTTTCGATTTCATGATGTGATCAATCGATTGGCTTGCGTGATAATTTGCATAAACCCCGAAGGCGTTTATGAATAAAATTATCACGCAATCCAATCGATTAATCATCGTCATGAAATTGAAAAATCTGACAGTTATTCCCTATATTTACATGCTTTGATTTCGCCAATCCATGTGCTCCAAGTCCTGACTAGCTGTTTGTCCCGCTCTGCACGTTGTTTTTTTTTTTGGAACCACGCCAATACATTGATGGCGAAATAAATTACATTTACAATTTGTAATTTTATCTCGGACAAAGACATTGGAAATGTAAATATTAATAAATAAATGACAGAGCAACTAATATTTATCAATACATAGTGCAGTATAAGCCCTTGTAGGTACCATATTTTAGATAGCAGAAGACACTTTGAAAGATTTGGGTACATTCACATAAAATTGAGAGGAATAATTAGTATCTGTATATGTACAGTAATATTTATTCAAGCGGGTTAAATTTGAAAGTTTTTTTTAGCAAAGAACAAGGTTCACCTTTGGCCTCTTTCGGCCTAGTGAATTTCTGAAAAAATCAGAACGTCTCATTTTTTGTTGATTTGTGTTAAATTTCACTTAGACCCTTGGTGACTCCGTATTAAATAAAAATTACGTATTATGACCTCATAAATTGCGTCATTTCCCTCAAATCTTGAAAATTCCTTTAAAAATGGCCAAAATATTAAGCCGTTTTTGAATATACCCTACAAAAATATACTGTAGTAAACTATAGTAAACTAAAGTAAACTATAGTTTACTATTAATAGTAAATCAAAATCCCAATGTTTTCACATAGTAAATCAAAGTTTCAAAGTTTTTAACATAGTAAATCAAATTTCCAAAGGTATCACCATAGTAAATCAAAGTTTCAAATCTTTCACCATATATAGTAAATCAAAGTTCCAAAGTTTTCACTATAGTTTATCAAAGTTCCAAAGTTTTACCATAGTTACTCGAAGTTTTTTTTCGAATTTTTCTTTTTGTTATTATTTTAACAACTTATATTGTTTATTTGATTTTTTAAATTATTTTATTGTTTTAATGTGAAGATACTGGGTCTTTAAGCTGCAATCTTATTAAAATAAGATGTTAGATCCACTCGCATACATTACTTGCTACACTAACTTCTAACAATATCCCATAGAGGGTCAAATCAAAGTTCAAATTCTATCAAACAAATCAAATCGTCGCTTGCAAAACAATTGTATATTGTTGAAGTGAATAAGTTGTTCCGAATGTGACATCTGACGTGACCCTCTATTGGATGTTGTTAGATGTTAGCTAGTGTAGCGAGTATACGAGTAGATCTAACATTAACATGTAATTTTAATTAGATTGTTGGAGCTTTGTGTATGTATCGGTGCAAAAAAGTTTAACATTAAAATTCAGTACTTATACATTATTTTTTAGGTTAGGGGTCGGGTTTAACGAATATTAACCTTGAAATTTCATAAAAATGTAGAGAATGGGAAGCAAAAACATAAATCCAAGAGTTCTAAAGTACTTAATAAAAGTTCCAAAATTTTCACCATAGTAAATCAAGGTTCCAAAGTTATCATCATCGTAAATAAAAGTTCCAAATTTTTCACTTTAGTAAATCAAAGTTCCATAGTTTTCACTATTGTATTGTTCCAAAGATTTAACTTTCATGCAATTGGTACTATAGTTAACTACCTTAAACCATTTTTGTCAGGGAATCTCTGATCTAAAATGTTTAATTATATAAAAAAAAGAACTGTTTTGAAAGATTCTAATCCCTGAAACAATTTTTGGATCGCGGGATGGAAGTCGAAGATGCTCAAATTAACTCATTTTCTTCAAAATTCGAGAACATCGTAGTTTCACATAGCCTGAGTATCAAAACTTGGACTCTCGAAGGAAATCTTTGATAGGAAATAAAAGCACTAAGTCTCTACTTTATGTTGACGCTTGAAATGGGATGTGAGGACTTGGTCAGTTAATTGGTATAAAGACAGGAGTTACTTTTTGGAGTTAGTGAACGTACCTCTTTTATTTTTGAAAAAAATTGA